TGATCACACGTCTGAGCACAGTCACTATGAGGACTAAGGAAGCCTGCCTCTAATTCTTTTGTATTGGGAGGATGAAAGCTGTGGACTGTGCCCTTCACCTGCATGGCTGGACAGTTTTCTTGCCCTTGGCCAGATAAAATTGTCAAGTAATGAAAGAGGTTGACTTTAGAAGAAAGAACAAAGGACAAGAAGGGGAAAAAAGATTGGGAAAGAACAGGAGTGTGGGAAACCCTTCCAAATGATTGAAAGAGACCCAACCCTAGGAAACCCTGGGGATTGGTAGTGCACAGGGAGGCTGCAATTGGCACTTCATAAACTGATCATTTTCAAATGTTCAGAGCTTCATCTAAGCCTTGATGTATAAATTAAAAGCGGAACCAATTGATTTAACCATGATTTAGCCTTAAGGGGGAAAGCGATGTAAGGATTGCAAGTGGAGAGGAATGCGCTCTGCCTGACCTCACTGAGTGGCCCTAGTTAGCTCCAAGACTAGGCGGTGGCTGATAAATTAGATCAAAATGCTTGATGATATAGCACATAGAAAGTCCTCTCAGGTCCCCTCCCTGGCCCCTACCAAAGTCCTTCCTGCTCCTGTCATCCGCTGCCATGCTGTCCTTGTTACCAGCAAAAACCTTCAGAAACATTTTGTGATGGGATGAATTAAGTTTGATCTGTGCAGGCCTTTCATCTCCTGCCTCTTCATAATCCAGGAAACCCTTTCACTACCAACAAGCATTATGTCTAACGTTAAGTGCTTTACAAGGACTTGGATGAGTTCATCCCCCCTAATATAACAAAGCATTATTACTAGGGGCGTAGCTCTCATTTATCCTGCGTTTGATCTCCAGTAAAAATGGTTTTGGTAACCCTGTAATTGCCAGAGAGTTAACCATGGCTGTTATAGGTACACTACTGTCATTGGTAGCTATTTATCACTAAGATTGCACCGTGCAGATCTGCAGTACCATGAGAGTACCTTCAGACATTATGGATAAAGTAAAGGACAAATCAACAAAACAGTATATTATATTTATATATATATATATATCAATAGAACCACCCACTAGGTACCAAACATTATTCTGGTTCTACCTCATATAATTATATATATATATATATCAATGTAATAAATAACTTTAATCACTTACTAATGTAATTAGCTACTACCTTCCTAGTATCGCATGTCATATTTCGATTTGAAACCCATTTAGACATTTGAATTAGTTGAAATTGGCCGTATTTGGATAGTATAGAGTGTGTATTCCAGCTCTGTGTTCAGATTTGTGTATTTGGAGTGTTGTTTAAATTGATTGTGTTTGTGTTCGCTGGCATTGGGATAGACCCATCATCAGCTCACAAGAACATGCTGAGAAATGAGACTTGCAGAAAGCCTGCTTTCGGTGTGATTGAGGAAGGAAATGATTAGGAAAAACGCCGTGCCCCCGAACAAGCGTGTACTGGGCACGGACTGACAAAGCAATTCTGTGCTAATAATATTATGACATAAGACAACAGAGAACTTAAACAGAACCAGATATTGCGAACAAAAGCTCCGATTGTATTTCGCCTTTTTTTTTCATAAACCTCCCAGTCAAAATCATGTTTGAACTTCTCACCTCTAAAAAACAAATTAACTGGCTCTATGATTCCAATAAAGCGAGCCCACTTTAAAGCTGAGCAGACACAATTGAACATATTCATTGCTTGTATAAACAGCTGAGGGAGATTTGCTAACGTCCAGGCTGAAACTAACTAACTTGGTGGCTTCTTATAATAATACCTCAATTAATCTTGCATACCGAAAAACAATTCATGTATTAAAGTGTAACTGAAAAGCTTATGTTCTAAGGGCTGAATATAATTATAATTTGTGTCTGGCACTGTAGGTAAGTAAGGTTCACTCTTAACCAAAACACATCATTATGCACCATGCTACATATCACATTTATAACAAGATTGTAAGCTTAGTCATTATTTAGAAGAATAAAAAACACACCATAATCTATGCAATGTAACATGTAGCTGATATCTGTCATATATACCGTATATATATGTTTCTTTGACATAGGCATACGTGCGAATTTTCCAATCATAGACTGTCCCCCAGCTCCCTTCCCCACACTAAGTGCAAATGGACCCCCTATTCCTATATAGTGGGTGCCACAGTTTCCTGCAAGTTTAAACGATCTCCTGGTCAGACATTTGTGAAGAAAACAGAAACAGAGCTTATGGCCAAAATGCGAGGATATAAATCACAGGTAAGAGAAAAGCAAATGATTTAGCATATGCCGAGTGATGAATTCCATCTATTAATACCATTTCCACTACTGGCTGATGGTGCTTTCCTAAGTCAGGCTTTGCTGACACCAATCGTTATTTAACGATTCAAGTTACTTAAGTGTTTTCTTTTATCATTATTTTATGTGTATGATAGAGGGATAGAGATG